GCACTTTAGTCCACTGCACCACCAAGGCACCAAGATGTTGCAACGGCCGTCATAAGTCACTTTTTTCAGTGCCTTGTAACTTCGAACAGTTGAACTGTTGAACTAAATCAGGGGTCTTCAAACTTGGCAACTTTAAGACTTGTGGACTTCAACTCCCAGAATTCTCCAGCCAGCATTCTGGGAGTTGAAGTCCACAAGTCTTAAAGTTGCCAAGTTTGAAGACCCCTGAACTAAATGAACTGTTGTAAGTTGAGGACTATCTGTAGAGTTGCTTGGTTTTAAAGGAGTGACATTTCTAATCTCAGGCTCACCAGACTGGAGGAATCTTCTGTTCTGGAAAAGATCCCAAGATCTCCTGGAAATTCTGATCCTCCCGTCCTGATTCTTCACCCCATCTCCAATCGCAGGCGTAGCCTATAATCTTGCAGACTCTCTCTCTCTCTCTCTCTCTCTCTGTTTCAGCTCAGAAAGCCACGCTCACTGTTTTTTTATAGCCTCCATAACATCTCATTACAAACTGTGCACAGTCAACAAAGGTGGTGACACCAGGCCTGGCTTAATAAGGAAGCAACAGCTTGGAAGCTTCTGACCTTGGAAAGCAGGTCTGAAAAGGGCTCTCTGGTTGCCCACAGACAGGAATACAGGGAGACAGGATTTAAAATAACCCTACATGCAAATTTTGGACCCTGCGTGGTTTAGGAGTTGTTCTCTTGGTGGAATAGTCTGTTTAAGTGTTCTTTCTGTGTGTGCCTTATATCTTTTAAAATCTCATTTTTGGATGTAAACTCAAATCTAACCTTATTTGGTTCCCAAATTATAGAGAGGTATCAAGTCACTTTACTGGAACTAAATTATCTTGAACCCTGAGAAAATACAGTACTTTTTAATGGGAGGCTATTGGGGAGGTGCTGCAAAATGTGTTTCCTCAACCTCTCAATTTTTTAAGATGCGTGGATTTTTGACTCCCAGAATTCCCCAGCCATGCCAGCTAGGGAATTCTGGGAATCACAAAAGTCTACACATCTTCAGTTTGCTAAGAGTTGCGAAAAAAACTGGGGGGGGGTCTTTGATCTGGTCATTCTTGAAATATTCCCTCCTTGGTCAGACTTAATTGGTCAGTTAAAGTGATGGAAATGGTTAGTGTAGTTCTTAAGACAGGAGGCCTCAGGTGTGAGCAGGCTAGCTTGGGAGATCAAAAGAATAAAAAAACACCAACTTCAAATAGCTTCTGTGTGGTAAAATAAAATAATAAAATATAATTAAAAAAAACTTTTTAAAAAGTTTTAAAAAAACTAGTTTTTTAAAAAGTTTTTTTGAAAAAGAGAAGGAAGATGCCTGAACATAAAAAGAGATTGTTTGAAAAAAGGAAATATTTTCCTAGCTCAGTGTTTCTTTAAGACTTTTTAAAAAAAAATTTAATTTTTTTTTAATTTTATTTTTTTAATTTGATTTATATGCCACCCTTCTCCGGAGACTCAGGGCGGCTTACAATGTGCTCAGTAATAGCAATTTTTGGACTTCAAATCCCAGAATTCCCCAGCCAGCCATGCTGGCTTCAAGTGCCCAAAATTGAGAAACACTGTGGTCTAGCTTCTTGAACTATTGTTCTTTTTTTGCAATCTTGAAAGTGGGGGGTTGGGAAGACCCCCAACACACTGGATCCCCTATTTCACCCCTTTGCAGAATGCAAACGTGAAAATGTTTTAACAGTATCTCTGTAGGGCCCCGTGGAAGCCGCCTAGAGCTCTCGTAGAAAAAGCGGAGTATAAATCCTGCAAGTTAAAAAATATATATATATATATATTCCTCCGGCACGCCAAGAGTTAAGATGTCCAAGAGGTTGGGCCACGCCCCTCCCTCCCCGGGATTGATTAACTTGTTCAGGGTAGCAAAAGTTCAGGCTCCGGAAGTTCGATTGGCCTTCGGAAGGAGGCCGCCCCGCCCCTCGGGCGCGTTGATTGGCTTGGGAGTTCCATTAGGCTCCTCCTCGCAAGAGAAGGCGGATTGCTCCTGAATGAAAGAAAGGCCCCTGGCGCCCCGCCCAGCGATTGCGCAACCAGCCGCCGGGCTTTTGAATGGGAGGCGCAGCCGCGGCTGGCGGGACTTGCTCGCGAGTGGCTGCGCTGGGCTGAAGCCCTGGCTGGGCTGCTGAGGGACCGTGCAAGGCTTGAGGGAGGGTTGGGTTGGGTTTGCCTGCCCGCCTCCGATGTTCTCCAAAGCGGGGGTCTCCAACCTTGGCCACTTTAAGCCTGGAGGACTTCAACTCCCAGAATCCCCCAGCCAGCAAAGCTGGCTGGGGGATTCTGGGACTTGAAGTCCTCCAGGCTTAAAGTGGCCAAGGTTGGAGACCCCTGCTCCAAAATGACACCCCCAAAGGGGGATGATGAATGCCCTTTCCTCCAGAGAGCCCTGGGCCCTATGGCTGTTGGCTCCTCCGAAAGGCAGAGGAGGGGTCTCTCTGAGCATGTATAAAAGCGCTTAGACTGGTGTTTCTCTGTCCAGTCTCTTGTTAAAAACCTCCAGTGATGGAGCCCCCACGATTTCTGGAGGCAACTTCTGTTCCACTGGTTAATTGTCCTCACTGTTAGGAAGTTTCTCCTTAATTCCAGGTTGCTTCTCTCCTTGGTTAGTTCCCATCCATTGTTTCTTGTCCTGTCCTCTGGTGCTTTGGAGAAGAATTTGACCCCCTCTTCCTTGTGGCCACCCCTCAAATACTGAAATACTGCTATCATGTCACCCCCTAGTCCTTCTTTTCTCTAGACTAGTAGCCATACCCAATTGTGAATAGAATAGAATAGAATAGAACAGAACAGAACAGAACAGAACAGAACAGAACAGAATAGAATCTTTATTGCCAAGTATGATTGGACACAGAAGGAATTTGTCTTGGTGCATACGCTCTCGGAGTACATAAAAGGTACATTCATCAAGAATCATAAGGTACAACACTTAATGATATTCATAGGGAAACAGTCAATATGAATCTTAAGGATACCATGGTGATGGTTGATTGCACAGTCAACCAAATGTTTAGGCTGACTTTGGCACTTTTGTCCACTTGTGGGTTCCTTCCCAAGAACCTGGAATAGGCAGATGTTTGATGGGGTTCTTGTCACAGGCTGTAAGCTGTTCCAAGTAAAATTGCCTTTTGCAATTGATTGCCGGTGATTTTGTCAATGCCGCTGATATTCAAATGGTGCTTCATATATTTTCAAATTGCATCCAAGATGCTTATTACTGGCATTTACTTTTCTTTCTTTTGCCACAGCCCTTCTAATTTACATCTGTTTCTAGGTCTTAGTATTTTGTGATTTTTCCCCAGTTCTTTCTCTTTTCTTTTGCTGTCTCCAGATATTGTCGTGTCCCCTATCCAGACTTTTTTTAATCTTTCTTATCAAATTTTTATTATTGTTATGACTAGCAGAGCCATTAAGCCCCATGTAAAATTATATGAGCGCTTAGCAGAAGCAGAGTGCTTACTCCACAAATCAAAGAAAGCAAATCCACAAAGGTAAAGTTAATGAAATTACATTTTTAAAAAAGAATTCATATGAGTAAATTTGTCATGCTTAGATTAACTGTTGCTGCATTTTCACTGGAGCCAGGCAGAATTTTGATTGTTGTATTGACGATAGCGTGATTGATGCCCAACAGAAGATCAGGCTAAAAATCTTCAGTTCTTGGGAGATTCTGCTAGGTAACATAAGGGCAGTCTTGAACTGGCTAGTTTCTTTGTTGATTAAATACCTTTATCTGGGGATCTGAAAAAGTCAGGAATGCAGCTGCTGTGGAGTGATCCAAGTCCCAACCTTAAGAAAAAAATCTGTTGCCCACCCTTGCCCTGGGCTAACTGTGTAACACACGTGTGTCATCCTCTTTTAACGACACCATAATCCCTTGCAGGGTGGAGTCTGGGCAACTGAATGGAGCTGAGTGTTTACTGGCCGGATGCCTTTCCTGTCGCCAATGCGGAGTTTTTTTCAGCAGATGTATTCTCATTGTGCCCAGAGAGAGAAATATCTGCCTCTACCTAGGATCGAACTCGCAACCTCCTGATTGTGAGGCAAGAACTCCACCTCTAGGCCACCGCACCACTCCCTATTGCACGTGTGTGTAATGCGTATAAAAAAGGGCGGAGTTCAACCATGGATCCCAGCTTCTGAGAAGCGAAGTCAAGATTTGCTTAACAAATCTTGCAGTGAATCATTTAATATCCATGGCATAAAAAGTCACGAAAATGGGTGCAACCCACTTAACGTGCACCTTGCTTTGCTTCCAATTGCAGTCGTAAGTCGAGGACTTCCGTGTCGTTAAACCTACACGTTGCACCCCCAAGCGTGCTAGCTCTTTGTCTCTTTTGGTGTAAATGTATTAAGCAAATGCAGCAAATATAGTGAAACGATCAAGCAGCTTTTTTGGGAAACGGATTCTAGCTGAAGTTTGAGATGCAAAGAGTAAAAATGCCACTAAATCAGATTTATCTCATGGTGACTTAACCAGGCAGTTTGCTTTACAAACATATGGAAGTAGATTTGTCCTACCTTCTTCCTGGAGCAATGAACCATGAATTACATTTTCCTTCCTGGTGGTCTCTCATCCATGTATTCAACCAGGCCTGTCCTGGCTTAGGTTTCTGAGACTAAATACTGTAAATGTTGTGTGGATGTTTGGGTGGTTTAGGGGTGGAGAATTGTGGTGGGGGGGTGGGGGGGTGTTTGGGGATTGTTATGTGTGTTGGACCTGGTCTTTGGGTGTTAAGTGAATTTCGTTGTATGGGTATACTGTGTATACACGTACAATGACAATAAAGTTATTTATTTATTATTTATCATAAGTGATCCAGGTCAACTGCTAATACTTGTTGAATGACAGAAACCTCAGACAGTTAATATAGTCATAAAGGTCCATGGTAAACTTTCAGAAGAGAGCCCACCCCTCTGTTTCCCCCATTTGGAACCTTCCAGATGGCCTGGAAGACACCCCTGCTGATGATCATGGTCCAGAGTGCCTGGAAGAGTCATAATGGAGAAACCCAGGTTCTCATCTGATGGGTGAGTTTTGACCAGCCACTCCCAGCCCAATCTGCACTGCAGAGGAAGGAGTCCCGTTTCACTATCTTGATGTCCTGGAGGAAAAATGGGATATATAAACCTCATTTTATAGACCAGGGTTTACCAACCTTTCGGACCGCAGGGACCACTAAATTCATAATTTTAAATCCCACGGACCACTAATATGATCTGCCTGATGACCAGCTGGGTGGGAGTGGCTAGGTGGTCATGTGACTGGGTGGGCGTGGTCAACTCGATGTCACTCACGTCAAGGGGTGCCTCGCTGGCCTCTACTCGCCCCTCCCCTCCCAGCCACTCCTCGCCTCCCCATCCAGGCTCCTTAGGACCCCAACGGGAAGCAGTTGTTGGAGCTGAGCAGCCACCACGAGAAAGAGTTGGCAAAACAGCTCAGTTCAAATTGGATCTGACCAAGAAGGAGGCTCAGCAGAAGCGCCTCACTGAGGACTAGGAGCATAGGCTTTCCAAGCGGAGGGAAGACCTGCGGGAGTGCAAGGCCAGGTACCGGCTCCTGGAGGCTCAGCGGGCTGAGATGGTCAGCCAGTTCCAGTCCATGAGGCAGTCCCACTGGAACGAGGCCCTCTGGCTCCTTGCCACCAGTAGCACTTCCCTCCAGCCTTCGCCAAAGCCCCGCACCAGGAGGCTGAAGCAGACCCCAAGTCAGAATTTCTGCCCCCCTCCGACCCACACAAAAAGACCTTGAAGGGGGAGACTCTCTGCAGCAACACAAATGTTCATTGCACGTATCCGGTCCAGGGGCCGTAGTTTGAGGACCCCCGATTTAGTGCAATATAAAAAATGCAAATAAATTTTCTGCAGACCACCAAAATTTTCTTGTGGACCACCAGTGGTCCACGGACCTCCAGTTGGTGACCTCTATTATAGACCACATTTAAAAGAGATCTGGTCACTGTTGCTGCATTACCACCTCTCTCCACTAGGCGGTAGATGAGGAATTTATCATCAAAAACCTTGGAATCCTGCAACTTGTTAAAATCCCAGGTATTTTACGCCCTTCAGTTCTGTAACTGTAATATAATGGTAATATAATGCAATATAAAACCCATAGTGGCCTCTCAGAATGGAACCTCTGTATATTGGAAAGGACACATTGCATTTTTCTAAAATCACATTGTTCCTTTAGAAAAAGAATGGAAAATCCAGCATGGGGTAACTTCTCTTTTTATTGACACCAAAAAGACCCCAAAGGGTGTGCCAGCTTTTTGCCTCCTGTAGAAATCTTCGCCAGGCTTCAGGGGCAAAGAACAAAGGAAGCAAAGAATCCAGGATAGCCAGCATCTGCCCAGGTGTTTCAGCCAGGCGACTGCAGCTCAGAATCGGCCATCAGATAGGGGTGATTGGCCAAACTGAGCTGGGAAAGTCTTTATTTCAAGCGCTTCATTTCCCCAGTTGGATGAGCATCTCGGATTGTTATATGGCTGGGTGGCAACCTCTGGGCTCAGAAGGTAAACAGGGTAAGGACTCAGATGGCAAATGTGAAGACCAAAATTAATTTGAGAATTCTTTTAAAAATCCCCCCCCAAGGCAGTGGCAAATGTTTCTGGACAATTGCCCCAAAATCCCTCAAAGGATAGTACTGGCTCAGCTGGGCCAGTTTCAATCTTCACTGTCACAACAAATAGTGGCCCCATGCCAGTGGGGAAATCCAATTTTTTTACTACTGGTTCTGTGGGTATGGCTTGGTGGGCGTGGCAGGGGAAGGATATTGCAAAATCTCCATTCCCACCCCACTCTGGGGCCAGTCAGAGGTGGTATTTGCCGGTTCTCCGAACTACTCAAAATTTCCGCTACCGGTTCTCCAGAACCTGTCAGAACCTGCTGGATTTCACCCCTGCCCCATGCTCATCCTAATTTTGGAAAACTAGACAAAGTCTGGCCTGGTGAAAATTGGGACAAGAGACCACCAAGAAATCATAACGGGTTTTTTTCCCGTTCAATCATGTCCAATACTCAGACTGCCTGGACAAGGCTCTGCAGTTTTCTTGGCAAGGTTTTTGATTTACCATTGCTTCCTTCCTAGGGCTGAGAGAGAATGACTGGCCCAAGTTCACCCAGATGGCTATGTGACTAAGTCAGGACTAGAACTCATGGTCTTCTAGCTTCTAGCCCATACAACGAAATTCACCTAACACCCAGAGACCAGGACATTTAAAATAAAATCCCAGAAGAAGACAATAATTGCAAACCATGGTACTGAACATATTTTGTCCAATGAGTGGGATGATATTTCATTTTGTAGTATACAGAGGGGATTCTGCTTTGAGCTAATTTCTGTCACATGTGGAACGCTCTTCTTCCCTTCTGTGGCAACTTGCCTCATTTGCTGACTGGGTTGCATGGATATCTTGGCTGCCAGCTTGGGGGGTCTTGATTTCAGAGGAATTTTAACTGGAGGAATTTGCTTGGGGATATGTGACTAATGTATGTTGTTACTGGAGGTCACGTCTCTTATTTTTTTATTTATTTCTGTCCCGTCTTTATTATTTTTACAGATAACTCAAGGCAGCAAACATATCGAACACACATTCCTCCTCCTATTTTCCCCAGCACAACAACCTTGTGAGGTGGGCTGAGAGGGGGTAGGGGAGAGAGAGAGAGTGGGGAGGGGGGGGTAAAAGTCACCCACCCAGCTGGCTTTCATACCTAAGGTGGGACTTGAACTCACCATCTCCGAGCTTCTAGCCTGTTGCCTTAACCACTGGACCAAACTGGCTGCCTTATGTGTGGTATTCAATACCTGGTGCTTACATGGCAACAATGCAGAAGTAGGATTACTCTGTGGTCTCCTATCCCCATGAGGCTAATTCTATAGAACTTTCTCTGTATCAACCAAGGTCATCCAGGGGCTGCCAGCTAAGTGTCTGTTCTATGCTTTTCTTTATTCTCAGTGAACTATTGTAGAAACTAGGTATGTCCAGCCTAACGAAGAGAAGGACTAGGGCTGACATCAGTGGTGGGTTGCTCCTGGTTTGCACCGGTTCGCAAGAACCGGTAGCAAAAATTTGTAGTAGTTCAGAGAACCGGTAATAACATTGGCTGGCCATGCCCTCAAACCGGTCCCCGGCCCGGTCACCACTCGCTTACCCCGCTCACCTCATCAGAGGCTTTTATTTTTTTAACTTTTAAAAGCATTTTTTCTACAACCTCTTCGGCTAAAAAAATGCTTTTAAAAGTAAAAAAAAAAAAAAAGCCTCCGAGGATCGCGCGGCTCAGCTGGGATCGTCAGAGGCTTTTAAAAGCATTTTTTCTACAACCTCTTCGGCTGAAGAGGTTGTAGGGGAAAAAATGCCTTTAAAAGCCTCTGACGATCCCAGCTGAGTTGCCTGATCATCAGAGGCTTTAAAATGCATATTTTTCTCCAACCTCTTAAGGTTGTAGAAAAAATGCTTTTAAAAGTAAAAAAAAATAAGTTGGCCACGCCTACCCAGTCACATTACCCCCCTCTGAGCCACACCCACAAAATGAGCCACACCTACAGAACCGATAGTAAAAAATTTTAGAATCCACCCCTGGGTGACATCATAGAAGTCTTCCAATATTTGAGGGGCTGCCACAAAGAGGAAGGGGTTTGACCTATTTCTAAAGCACCTGAAGGCAGGACAGGAAGCAACAGATGGAAGATTATCAGAGAGAGATCCAACCTAGAACTAAAAAGAAAGTGTTAAATTTTTGTTTTACCAACAAAGAAATAAAGGGAGACTAGTATAGACCTATTTCAAACTATTTAGCTCTCATCAGCTAGCCATATCCTTCTGGGATTCGAACCTGGGCTACTTGCATTTTAGTAGATGTATTAACCTGTAAGCCAGGAGGGTATGGCTAGCTGATGAGAGCTAAATAGCTTGAAATAGATCTATACTAGTCTCCCTTTATTTCTTTATCAGCGAAATATAAATTTGGTATAAAATGGTTTGTCGTGAATGCAACTGCTTGAGGGCTCCTGGATTGGAGCTGAAAGGCGAAAGGGAAGCAGGATGCTCCCTCCCACATACTGGGGTATATATCAGGTGCCTCGATAGAAAAACACTTAATCTCTCCCCTGGCTCAAACTGATGAAGGGAGGAGAACGTGTGGCTCAGAGGTTAATACAACTGCCTAACATGCAGGCAGTCCAAGTTCGAATCCAAGTAAGGGTATGGCTAGCTGATGAGAGCTAAATAGCTTGAAATAAATCTATACTAGTTTCCCTTTATTTGTCGGTAAAAAATAAATTTAACACAAAAATAGTTTGTCGCGAAAGCCACTGCCTGCGAAGGCTCCTGGAAACAGAATGCGAAAACAGAAGCAGTATGCTCCGTCCCATAGTTAGGTAGACCAGGTTGCCCTGATAAAAAAACACTTAAAAAGAAAGTGAGAACAATTAACCAGTGGAACAGCTTGCCTCTGGAAGTTGTGCATGCTCCATCCCTGGAGATTTTCAAGAAGAGATTGGAGAACCATTTGTCTGGAATGTGATGGGGTCTCCTGCTTCAGCAGGGGGCTGGACTACAAGACCTCCAGGGTCCCTTCCAACTCTGTTATTCTATATGCGTAATATTTTAGCACCCAAAGCAAACAGCGCATTGCTCAGAAGACAATCTGTCTTTTGTGGCACTCTGGGCCTATGCGTGCTGTAAGTAGATGGATAGGAAACCCCCCCCCTTCCGAGTAAAACTGTGTGGCCCACTTCCCAGCTCTCCAACTCACCATGGCCCCATTGTCTATAGTTTTAACCTCTGGCAGGAGCGACAAACCACAATGGCCTTTTGTCGTGGCGCTCGTGCCCTTCACAACGGTGTCATTCATAAGATTTTCATTTTAAAAGGATTAGCAGCATCGCTCCGACTTCCTTTCTTTTCCCATCTCTGAAAAGGGAAGAGGGCAAAAGATTGTAAAGGATGTTCTCTTACCTGTCTCCAGGTGACATTCATCAGCTTCCCTTCAGAAGTGACGGGAGCTTCATCACTGGAGGCTTTCAAGAA